AAGGTTACGCCCTAGAGTCTTTTTACTGCTTTGTAATTGGTTAGAGTTTTGAAAATGAATAAAGAGAGTTTTAGTTGGTCTTGGCGAGTAGACCAGGACAAGTCCAGTCCTGGAGAGCCTTGGGGCGAGTCTAAGCACAGTCTTGGGCGAGTCTTGGTTCAGCCTTGCGATAGTCTTGGGGATTTTTCCCCAGGGCGCTGTGTCTTATAGAGTGCTCGACTGATCGACTAAGACGAGAGTTGAAACGTATTTCGTCGTGTGTGTCTTATTTGACTGTAAAGCTTAAGTGACTTCCCCGATCCCGCACCTCGAGGGGACTCGATATAGAGACGAGACCCGATTCCCCCCTGACACGTGTGGAGAACCCCGAAGAGAAGACTTCCCCCTGATATATCTCTACTACTACACACCGTAACTAGCCATATACACAATAGGTGTCCTGGTTTGGTTACATTGTTTTTAATATACTTATTTACGTGTAAACTTACTTGTTTTGGAGTGTCTTCTAGGGGCATGCCTCCCATGTCTATTACATTGTATATGTTTCTCTGTAATTACAAAAAAACAAACACATTACATTCACTGAATCGGGAATAATAGGTTTCCTTAATAAACTCATAATACATTTATCCAAATGTATATTTTCTACATTTTTAATGTTGATTTCTGCTTTTGAACACGATTGCTTTGTTACTTTTTTTTTTACTTTCAATCCAGGCCCACCCGGCATGACATATGTGTAAATGCCCTTATGTGCTACTTTGGATCAACGCAATTTCGATCTAGTTCATTACAGCTGCAAACACACAACAGAGAAATGTACATGGCAGGAGTGAATATTATGTGTTATATATCCATTAATTACACTGTAAATGTTAGTGCATGCCTTGTAAACAATATTTGTAAGTATAATAAATAACAGGTTTTATTGTGGTTTGCCTTCACTGATAAAGTGGGCACATTGTTACTACACGCGCGTGTTGCTCGTCTGTTCATTGCGTTACTGACGGATTAGACACCGTTTATGAACTGAATACATATTTTACAGTAATGTAATGGTCAAAACAGTCCTAAAACATGACCAATTGATAACCGAGACAGCGGGTAGTAATAACCAATGATACAATACAGTAGGTTTTAAACACATCATGAATTTGGACACACTGTTTTATAATCTATGAAATAAAAGTACTACGCGGACACTGAAAACAATTGGTTGAAAGGGAATTTAGTTACAATCTCTGAAATTTTTTTCAGTACAGATAAAACTTCGAACTTGAATAGAACCGGACACACGCATCGCCCGCTCTCGTGGTACCGTGTCTGTTCATCTCTTCATAAACCTGGAAGCAGTAAGTGTGAACATTATACCTTTAAAAATCAAGATCGGTTTCATCGATAATCTGTGAGTTAAAAAATAATTTTGGGATATGTGCCAATTACTCGTTTTCTTGGCTGCAGTTGTCAACCAGTGATTGTTAACTGGCTGTTAGAGTAACGGCAGTGTTTACCAGTGTCCAGCTGTTGCTGTCATTAAATTGAAATTTTAAACTATAAACGCTCCATCCACACAGTGTATGAAATTACAATGTGATTGTACATGTTTTGCAGCTAGGTCGACATGACATGAGATCAACGTCCTGATATGTATGTCGTGTAGTTTTTTTACTTATGCAGACAACACCCGCGTATGTTGTCAACCTTAGACGTGTAAACCTTTAACACAGGGCAGAGCCTATATGTTTTCAACTATGTGTGTCTTAAGACTTCAAGAAGGGGCGGATAGTTATACTGGAAGGCAGATGCCGATGATCCGTATTGGTGTACATGTCCTAATTATGGCGTCATCTGACTACCAATTCTACATTAATGTTCGCATTTGTTTCCCCAGACTGTGTTACAATAATGTGTATGCGTGAATTACTGACATATGATAGTAATTACTGAAATATATATTCTTACCTTCTCGTCCATGTTTAGTCATTCGCTAGCAAATATGTCAAGGATTTCTGCTCGATTAATACAGACACCACTCAAACCTGACTGTACTATGTTAGTTAGAGACTGTGATATTTGACCTCATTATAATCTTATTGCACCAATGTGTACACGACTTATTGGCCCAATAACGTTTGCTTTTCAAGTAGTGAATGAGGATTGGTCATAACACCGTTAATCAAAACCATGTGTGCAACAAACAACAAACGTCATTTCCGTTCACTGACTTTGTCCGAGTTTTTGTTAAGACCAATTTTTTTTTTATTCATATATTTTATTTTATTTCTACTATATATGTTGTTTTTATTTAACACGTAACTGACTTTTTAGCTTAATTACCAAAACTTACTATACTCGAAATAAATTAAATTCAAGTTAAATATATGAAAACAACTAAATACTGGCACATAGTCATACAAATTTGAAATAAAAATAAGTCCAAAGTAGTACTTTGTACTGGCAAATCACGTTCAGATTGCGAATACACGTGTTTCCGATTTTGTGTCCGTTGTTTGCATACGTTTACACGTCTTCACTATAGGTCTATTTATTCGGCCATCGCTTCACCACTACACTTTGGCAGCGCGTATTCAAGCGCGCCCTCTCAGGCAATACTTGAGATATTCATCGTCCAGTCAAATTGCTCGTTATAGTTGCATGGGCAAAATTGTACAGTAGAAGTTTTCTTCCCGGCCAGAGATGTAGCTGACAGTTAACTATATATTATACGAGGACTAACAATCCAACTGTCACTGTACTAAAGATACGACATACGGCCACCTTCAAATGCACGGTTCGTGTACACGATGCAAACTATTCTGATGATGGCGTTTATATATTAAGTATAAAGCAGGTAAATGAAGTTACACTACATAAGCACTTATGAATATTCATGACTATTTTCTAATGTGACAAGGTCCGAAAACAGACCACCGACAATAAGTTGACTTTTGAACTTAGAATTACAAATTTGAACCCGTAAGCTTCCGGTTTGCATTGCATCCAGTATTGCAGCCCCTAAATTTTGTATTTTCTACAGATATACGGAAATCACAGTGCATTCACGGTCTCTAAAATTGACAGGAGAGGAAACAAAAACGTAAATCACATGCAGTATTGTAATCTTGAGGTAATATGTGAGTGTACGGCTGTTGTGTTATCCTCGGGGCGGACCTACGTCACAAGACGTTCCACGTTGCTAAGACGCCCACCACTGTACACGTATTTCTATGGGCTCTGTGCGCGCTGTTGTGGAACGCCGGTTGAGCCGGTGAAAATTCGAGAAAACAACACAAACTCAACTTTGAAATAATCCTGAACAACCAAATTTATATATGTTACACACGTAGGGCTGAGGACGCTCGTATTCTAACTATCATAAATGTTAGAGCACGCGGCTGGTGTTAGGTTGAGACCTAGTATCATAATTTTATACTTGCTATTGTCTGTAATGTATTAGCTTAGCTTGTTTTATTTTATCTATTTAATGTTTTGTAACCTTTTATTCCTTCTTAAACCTTTGTAACCATTGCCAATCCCTCCGGGGAATGTGTAAGTGTTAATAAAATTATTATTAAACAACAAATAAAGTTTGAATTGAACTTCGGTCTACAGTGAAAATCAGTCCAGTTCGACGATTGAATAATGACGCCGTTTGTAAATGAGCCAAAATAAATAATGATATAGACATAGCACACACTGAGTCAAAGAAAGTCAGAGACAATGTAGACGATGATTATCATAAACGTAGTTGACGTTGATTTCTCTAAATGCAAGGAATTACATCAGTCGCTGCCCAGTGTTAAACATGCGCCACCCTTGAAGATAGATTCTTATCGATTCAATATTCTACTGGATGTACCTTTAATAAGCAATCGATTATTACTTCAGTAAACACCAAGCAAAACAACATATGTTGCATGTTGTTCTGTCGAAATTTAGGTAATTGAACGTAGTGAATTTAGGCGAGGGTTCTTCGAACCCGCCTATTCACATAGTTCATACCCACCATAGACTCCGGTCAGTCAAAATGACTATTTTGAACTGTAGGCATTAATCAGCGATTCTGCCGGTGACGGAGAGATAGAATCCAGGTCAGGGGAAGCCCCATGACATCAAGATTCTTTTACCCCTTACGTCACGAACCCACGTGACCGAGGCCACATGGCAACGCCATAGGCAGCCGTCTATCACTCTGGACCCTTTCTCTCCGCCTCGAGGACTTAGACCAACGCGACGGAAAGAGTGGGGAGGTTGGGGGGGACCCGGAGTCTATGTGAATAGGCGGGTTCGAAGAACCCTCGCCTAAATTCACTACGTTCAATTACCCACCATAGACTCCGGTCAGTCAAAATGACTATT